TTTTGGTGAATATTTTTGTCATTTTTGGTAAAAAGTGATATTTTCGACTTTGTTAAAAACCTCAAGTCCAATTGCTTTGATATTACATGTGGAACTCTCTCATATTTGTTCATTTTCTAATGATATCTTCTGTTCTTTAATTGCCATGTGCATTGCTAACAGCAGAGCTATCTCAGCCAACAGGATGCTTGTTTATAAGCCCAATGACAATTTGTATTTTGGTCTCTAAACAATCTACAAAAAATATTGCTAAAAGGGTGGTCATGTAAAACAGGTGATCTTCATACACAGATTGCTCATACGTTATGTCTCAAAACTGATTAAAAGTGGTCACTATAGACAGGTAGAAACTAACACAGATTTTATTTTATTTCACATTGAAAATCTAGGTTTACAAAGGAATTTCTTTCCGCTTTCAATATCAGATACTTTAAATTAGATAAATTACATTCAAGGATAAACAAGGCTAATTAAAAATGCAGAGAGCTCGGCCATCAAAATATTTCTTGCCCTCATAGCCAGTCAATAGGTCTATAATGTTCATTAGCTCACTAGTCATTTGATGCTTCTGTTCACTCCCTCTGCTGGTTGTTAATTAGTCTGATATTTATTTTACAGGCTGCCATTTCTATTAATAATCTACTGGAGAAAGCAGATCGTGTTTACCGAACACTGGTATCGCAGAAACCACATCTGGAATCCCTCTTGATAAAGATCAATGAATCAGGCGGAGAAAAACAACAGGTATGGACTATATAATCCACTCGTGTATGTATGTGTCTGTCTGTCTGTCTGTCTGTCTGTCTTTCGGTTCATCTGTGTCATGTGTCTCTTATTTACTGTTATTGATTGATTGTCTTGATAGGAAGAAACTGTGAGTGGTTCTGTTGGTACCAGTAGTAGCAGTACAGTAAACAAAGCTATACAGCAGCTTGCATCAAGATATTGTGGAGACTGCAAATCATCTTTTGATGAACTCAGTAAAATCATTCAGGTTTGTGAACTTTTTCATTGTCTGGAGAATAGTGACTTATTATTGAATCATGATATCTAGTGGAAGATATAAGGTGGGGAAAAAACTAGAAGAGTAATAAGGTACCATACACCATTATCACTGCTAGAAATTTACTTCCGAATTTGATTGCATTTGTGAAGAAAACATTTCACGAGAGTGATTGACACTTCATGTCAATAAGATACTAGAGAAACAATAACTACTACAAAATTTTGTGGTTTTCATTGACCCACGAAATTGAAGTGGTTTTACAGTATCATGAAATGACAACATACAAAGCTGGTCAATAGTCGGCCATTTTGAATTGAAATAATTACCAAAATAATTTTTCTGGCACCTAAATTTAAATACATATTGTTTATCGTCGTAAGCGTCAATGGGTGAACTCAGTTCTGACAATGAGCTGATTGGTCAATAAGCGACTTGACCTACAAGGTCAAAGAACACAGCTTCAGTTGACTTGTGTTTGAAAAAACATAGCAGATAACATATAAGCATCAAATGTTTGACTGAAAACATACTCGTAGGATAAAACTGAGTTGAATTTTGTATGTTTGATGTGTTGATGCATTGAATTCATACACTATAACATCATATGTCATTCCTTATTGAAATTCACCACGATTAACAATATAACTTTAAAAGTTCTATGTTTTTGGAAAAGCAAGATAAAGAAGTTGTGAAATGATATTATATTCAATACATGTTTCTTATTACAGAAAGTACTTGCTTCTCGCAAGGAATTAGTTGAATATGACAGAAGACAACGAGAAGCTGCAGGTAGTGTTGTTAGTAGTCCTGCAGTGAGTCCAATACCAAGGCCATCTAGCAGTGTGCGTACTATGATGGTTCCAAGTTTTGATCACAATAAGAAAGCCAGGTAGGTCAAACATCCTGGCACTTTGCATGACCCCTTAGGGGTCAAACATCCTGGCACTTTGCATGATCTCATAGAGGTCAAACATCCCGACACTTTGCATGACCCCTTAGAGGTCAAACATCCTGGCACTTTGCATGACCCCTTAGGGATCAAACATCCTGGCACTTTACATGACCCCTTAAGGGTC